TTGCAGTGTGGGGTAAGAGAGCAGGTGGGAGAAAAAGACGCCCAGGCTAAAGTTGCGGTCCTTCTAATTCAGCCATGCACCGATCCCATAGCAGCTCACAGCAGCAGGAGCAGCAGCAAACTGTAATGTAGCCCAGCTAATCCTGACAGCATTTGATAGGTTGTTGTGAGATAGGTATTTTTAGTATGTACATGTTACATATGAGGAAACTGAGGCACAGAGAGGTTAAGTAGCTCCCTAAGATCACAAATATTAAATGGTTGTCCTGGAATTTGAACCCAGATTTTACTTTTTGGGACCAGTTTTAGGAACGGCATAACTTTGGGTAAGAAAAAGAGCCAACCATCTATAGCGGTGGTTCTCAAAGTGTGGGCCCCAGACCAGCAACATCAGCATCACCTGGGAACTTGTAAGAAATGTACATTCTTGGGCCACGCCGAGACCTACTGAATCAAAAACTCTGGGGATGGGGCCCAGCAATCTGTGTTTTAGCAAAGGTTTCTGTTTGCATGTACCGTGGTACAGCTCCTTCACATGTTAGCTTTGACTGGAATCTGTTAAATTAGAGAATCTTTAAAATTTACAAATAGAAAATAGTTAAAATGTATCAGTAACAGTAGTGATAATAAACATTCATTTAGTCTTTACTATATGCTAGCCACCATGTTAAGCAATACTATGAAGTATAGGTACTGCTGTAGTAGGAATATAGAGAGGAAACTGAGGCTTAGAGACCTGAAGTGACTTGTCCAAGGCCAGCAGCTAGTAAGTAGCGAAGTTGTGACTTAAATCCACACTCACCTGACGACACAGTCCATACTCTGAACTGTTAACTCTTTTTGCTCTTTTGGTAAAGAGCTATTGAAGAATGAGCATCAATCAAAGTACAAGTGTTGTTTTTTTTTTTTTAATTTGAAAGAAGTATTTGAAAGGCAGATGATTTGGTTAAATTTTTTGATCGCTTCCCATACTCTGAAACAAGTGTTTATTCCCAGAGCTGATTACACCACATACCATTACTTCCTGAGTTCAAGGAAAAATGATGGTGATTATAGAACTTCCTGGCCACAGGGAGGCAGCACCAAACAGTGCAGAATTGCTCCTTGCGGCTCCGTTGGTTGGAAGGAAGCTGTGCTTGCTCCCTGGGAGCACGGTATCCCCCACACACAAATTCCCTTTTCCTTTGGCCACATGGATGATGGTGAAGCTGTTCAGATCAGAAATTAAATTAAAAAACAGCAGGATTGTCTAAGGAAGATTGTTTTAAAATAAATCCATTATAGTAATATAGTCAAGGTTCTTGTTTTCTTTCTTCCAGAGTGTCAAAGCAGTATATTTGTTGTGCTGTGGTGGTGCTGGCTGATTTGCATTTCTTAATCAAGAAAGATACTTTTATTTTTAGTGAGCTTGTTAAGATTGAAATTCATATGTTCTTGGACTCAGAGGAATAAAAGCATCCAGTATCCTTTTTACCTTCTTTATTGTTTGTTAATGAATTCTTTCGAGTATTGACAGATTATAGGATTTTGTAGGAGGCAGCTAGACACAGTGAGAAAATGTGTTCCTGGCTTCTAGTTCAAAGGGTTGTTGTAGGGGAAAAACATCACAAAGTTGAGTAAAGCAAAAAGAAACTTTTGTTCGGCATGTATTCAAAATGGCAAAAGTGGGAAGCGACAACCATGCTGCCAGAGCCATATCTGCCATTACAGAATCATCAGTATGTATTAACATCACAAATGGGCAAAACCATTGAAAGCTTAGCCTTTTCAGATTGGCTAGAAACTGTGATCCTACATTTTGAATTGTCGTTCTTAACAATCATTGGTACAGGTTTCAGGAGGGTCTTCATTGGTCCAACAAATTTTCTATTCACTAAATGCTAATATAAAAAGATAAGAGTAGAAAGCCTTTTGTGTTCTGTTTGATTGGCTTTATGTGAAAGTTTCCCTAAAAGATATTTGCCAAGATTATCTTAGCTATTGTCTTTATACCTAGTTGATGTTCCTTGTGAGCCCAGTTGATGTTCCTTGTGAGCCCAGCTCTAGCTGGGTCACATTCTCTATGCTCAAGGAGAGGGAATAATAATTCCAATATTATTTTCTAAATCAGGGTATATGACCATCCCCCTATGGGGTCGCTGTGAGTCAGAATCGACTCGACGGCAACGGGTTTGGGTTTTTTTTTGGTACAGCAATATTAATGTCTTGTAATATTGAATATACCATGGACTGCCAGAAGAGTGAACGAGTCAGTTTTGGAGAAGTACAGCCAGAATGCTTTTTAGAAGTGAGGATGGCGAGACTTTGTCTTGCTTACTTTAGACATATCATCAGGCGAGATCAGTCGCTAGAAAAGGACATCATGTTTGGTGAAGTAGAGGGTTAGTGAAAACAAGAGAAACCCTTCATGAGATACATTGACATGACGGCTGCAACAGTGGACTCAAACACTAAAGACTGTGAGGATGGCGCAGGACTAGGCAGTGTTTCGTTCTGTTGCACGTAAGATCTCCTCACAAAGTTGTTGCTGTAAAAAAAAAAAAAAAAAATTAGCATAGTGAGCGTATGAAAATACCTCGTGGGGTGGTGGTGGTTAGCAAACAAACATAGAACACGAGTGCGTTATTTGCATAAAAATACAGAGATCTACCTCAAGGGATTGATGTAAGGATTAAATGAGTTAATACCTTTGAACATTTGAACAATGCCTTCTTCTCTGTCCGATGAAGCAACTATGCTGTTCCTATTTTCTGCTGTTAAACTAGGCTAAGATAATATAAATGTTCTCTAAATCGAGTTTCCGTTCCTTTTTTGAGGTAGCGGTGGGGGGCGCACTGGAGGTGGTAGGTTTAGTACTGTTGAAACAGCAGGCAGTGAGGGTAGATTGTGACATTGTGATTTTACTGACTGGGGGTTATATTGGGAACCAAGAAGGAAGGGAGGTTAGTGATCTACACAGTCTCCATGGAGAAATAGCAGGGAAGGGGTTCTTAGGGGCTCAGACCTGTGAAGTCGTGGGTTGTAATAAAACAGTGAAGATATATGGTAGCGTGCACCTGTGGCAAATCTGGCATATCCACCTGGAGAAAAACTCAGTTTGGTCTGTAAGCTAAGGAAGCAGAGCTGCAGAAGGAGCAGGCCAGCCACCTAAGAAACAGCTTAGGTGGTGCCCAGGAGCCGACCCCAAATTGGCCACCCACCAGCGTTTGTGCCATGGCTTCCTCTTCACCAGCAAGGAGTTTCATAGCAGCATGTGCACATGTGCAAATGAAACGTGAGGCCATCTCCCAGAACCCTTCACCTGGACACCGGGTCCTGGGGAGCACTTGAGGTTGTCGCAAGGACTCCCTTCTCCTTTTGGTTTATTTGTAAAAGCACGGTATGCGCTGTCAGCAGAACGCAACTGTTCTGTGCTTTTGGATTCACAGCCTTCCACTCTAGAACATGAGGATGCTTTCAATGGGATGGCTATCCCAGGTCTTTGTCTTTGTGGTATTTTGGTGCTTTATCCCTTAAGAAAGTATAATTTACAGTTTGGGAAGGAGGGACCCAGTCTGGTCATGGGGGCCGGAATGGGGAAGATTGGACTAGATAGGATGTGGTCAGTTTAGGACAGTTTGCTGCGTTTCTTTAATATGAAGTTTAGTTTTGAACCCTTACAAATGCTCTTTGAGAGCTTGTCTCGTGGTTACCGTGGAAGCGTGGCCCCTTGTCTGCCCCTCATCTCCTGGGAAAGTGGCCTCTTTAGCTGACTACACAACTTGGTGGGGGGAGAACCTGGGCCACAGGGGGGATGAGGGACCCCAGCTCAGGCAGCTGGCAGCCCAGCAGCTCTGGCAATCAGTGGTGGGACAAATGCTACAGCCGAATCACCCTCACATGCACCACGAATTTTTTTCTCTACATCTTTGTATTGTTTACTTGCTATAATAGGCACATAATACTGTTTAAATTAAAGAAATAAACCCAAATAACAGAACTTTTTAAAAGGAAAACAAGAGGCATGATCTCAAATAAGACATTTCTAAATAATCAAAGGATAATTGGTGGTTGTGCTTTATTTAGGTGTCTCACAAATCCATTCCACAGCTTTTCAGCATTTGGTGCTAATAACACATATCAGAGGAACCTATTGTTACCCTGAGAAGGGTTGTTTTCCCCCTTCTGTCTCTGTCTCTTTCTCGGTATTAGAGAATACAATTTGCTTCATTGTTATTAGAAGCAAACAAAGGACTAATGTGTATTTCATTCATCCTTCCTTCATTCTTAACAAGTAACAAATCTCATGGGATTGCATTTCTGTCTATAAAAAGTTCGATTGCTAACCTAAAGGTCAACAGATCAAATCCACCAGCCACTCCTTGGAAACCCTGTGGGGCAGTTCTGCTCTGTCCTATAGGGTCTCTATGAGTCAGAATCGACTCAACGGCAATGGGTTTGGTTTTGGTTTGGTTGTAAGAGGTAATGGGAGCTCAGCAATTTTTATATCCATTAGCCCTATGAGGAGCCCTGGTGGCACAGTGGTTAAGTGCTCAGCTACTAGCCAAAAGGTCAACAGTTTGAATCCACCAGCCGCTCTACGGAAAAAGATGGGGCAGTCTGCTTCCATAAAGATTTACAGCTTTGGAAACCCTATGGGGCAGTTCTACTCTGGGTTGCTATGAGGTGGAATCAACTCGAAGGCAGTGGGTTTGGTTTGGGTTACTTAGCCCTATAATTCGACTTCTGGTAATCTTTTCTGAGGAAAAAATCTGAACACAAAAAAAAGCTAGGCAAGAGGATACTCACTGCATTTTTTTTTAATAGGAAAAAATAGGCACAACAATTTTTCAACCTTAGAGGATTTGTTAACTAAATTAGATGAAACATTGAAGATGTTTTAAGAATTGAATTGAAGATGCATTAAGAATACCTTGTAATGACCTGAGGGTTTTAGCATCAGTTGGTCCAGACTGACCTGTGGCCAGTGAGTCATTCATGCTCTCTGACTTTGTCTTCCAGTGTTTTGCTGTGCGCTCCCTGGGATGGGTCGAAATGGCAGAGGAGGACCTCGCCCCTGGCAAAAGCAGCGTTGCTGTCAACAACTGCATCAGGCAGCTTTCTTACTGCAAAAACGACATCCGAGATACAGTCGGCATTTGGGGAGAGGTAAGTGATACGTGTAAATAAATGGCAGACTTCTTTTCCTTCCACTTGTGTTTCACGAACCCCCACAGCTCTGTAAGACATGGCCCTGAGGGGCTCTGGAGGTGTTTATCAGGTGTATTTTCCCATAAGGCAGGGAGTGTAGCCATGGTGCACCCATGTGATTGTTCCGTTGGCACTGCCAGATCCCAGGAAGGACTGGAGCCCTGTCTAAACAACAGGTTCTTGACTTGGTATCTCTGTATTCCCCAGGGGATCCCTAGATGGGCTTTAAGGGCCCAGAAAACCCTAAACTTGCATGCAGCGTTGAGGGTACCAGTGCATACGGCAGTTTTCAGGGAAAAAGTCCCACGGCTCTAGTATGTTCTCAACGGGAATTGTGACCTCCACACATACACTCATGTCCCTGCTCTAAAAGTTGACAAATTATCCTTCCATAAAACTCGTCTTTACTTACAATCTGAAAATCCACATTATACATGAATTGCAGTATTGTTACCTCTATATTCTGTCTCTTCGGTGAAGGTATTCCGTTTTGAAATGTTGGTTGGGATAATTTCAGAAAGGGAAGTAATGAGTAAACAATACCAAACTTGTATAAAAATCACATCAACTGGGGAAAGCAATTTTTCCTCTGTATGCTGAGGCCTGTAGAATAAGCATATCAAGATAAGCAATATCTCAGAATATTGCTTGCTGCATAGATATGCTCCACCCCATCCACCCCCGGTTGACAGCATTAGAAGCAATGCTTTTTGATTGGGTTGTTGGGTTGTTTGGAATGCCACTCATATTTTATCCTGGCAGCACTGTCATAATGGGAGGTAGGTTGCCAAGGCTTCCCAGGCTGGAAGTCTGTCTACCTTAGAATTGTGCTGAACGACATTGTCAACCAGAGTTTTGGATCCCAAGCATGGGAGGAGAGGAGGAAGTACCTCCACCCCTTGCCCAAATTCCCAGGCTTATCCTTCCCGTCCAAATGATCCAGCTAGGATTTAGAAGGAAGGTTGGTGTAGTTTATACTGATGTGTGAACGACTGATAACTACCACCAGCTATATGCCTTTTTAGGAGAGCTCATTAAGATTCTAAAGGAATCTCCAATTGATGAGATTCCAACTTCAGAGAGAGAGCTTGGAGGGGGGCAGCCATGCCTGGAAGTCTGTTATGCCTTCCCTCCTGGTTATCCCCCCTAAGTTGTTCCTATTTTTCTTACCAGTTTCCTCTACTTCTAAAACCAAAATTCTTCCAGGCAGTGTTCCTAGTTCATAGTATATATACAAAGCGTAGCTCAAGAATGCTTAGGCTTGTGAGCTATGATTTTGTGGTACGCCCCACCATGCACAGCACAACTCCTAAAATGTTTGTTGATTGACTGAAAATGAATTCATGACTTTCAGATGTGTATCTCAGCTGTAATTGACGTCTGCATAAGCATTGGCTGTTCGGGTAACAAAAAACAATTAGCAAGGCTTTGCGTTGGTCAACCCAGGACCTGCACCTCAATCGTGATTAATCTGTAAACGGGCTAATTAAGAGAAAATTGAAAGGGTCGCGTGGGATAACAGGCGCTTGCTAAACGAACTTGGCAGAAGCCACGATTTGTTTTCATTCAGGGAAACTCCTACTTAGCCAGCCATTCTTGTTTTAGATCACAAGCTACACGTTGTCACTGGCTCTCTCCAATAATGCAAAGATTATCAGCAGAGTTAGCCAATGAAGACGACCTCTGTCGCCTTCAGGAGGGCCAGCTGTGGTTTCTAAGCTGTATCAGCCTGAAGGAGATGTGTCACCAGCTCAGTGAGGGTGGGACTTGCCCTCACTGTGGGTCACATCCTGCAAAGCACGTTTAGCATATTAGATAATGGAGGCAGCCAAGATGAAGCCTTTCAGAGTTTGTTAGTACCTGCGAGGTGTTTGCCACAAAACAGCCACAAGGAATGGAGCTGGGGACCACTGGGCAGAGTTGTACAGGGGGCTGCTCACTATGGGTCTGGCTGAAGATCTCTTTTAGGCTACAGTCAATGCTCAGTGAATGGTGGAAAGGGGCAAAGAGTGAGGAGAAGAGGCACTGAAGATCTCCAGGAGATCTCAGTTGTTGCAGATGACCTGGGACCTGCACAGCTGTCAGGTGCCCCAGCTCTCCAGGGCTCAGTGATTGTACTGCTGATGTGGCAGCCTCACCTAAAGATCAAGGAGCCCAGCCTTTAGCTGAAGTATGGAGTGGGTGAGGGGCTGCAGCCCACCACTGTAGCTGGGCTTCTCTCCTCCGCTTTGCCAACCCTTGCTTAGCTACTGACCAGTTCCCTAGCCTCTGTGAGGTGCCGGGAACCTGAGTCCTTCCCAGGACCTGCACCTCAATCGTGATTAATCTGTAAATGGGCTAATTAAGAGCAGACTTTGCCCAGGGTGTCCACAGACACAGGTCCTGCCTGCAGCAAGTGGAGTGAGCTGCACTTCCTCGGCAAAGACATTTGGAGGTCAGAGGCAGCATGCAACGTGTTGCTCGAGGCTCTGTGGAATCTCTTCAGCTACAACACTCTGTGAATAAGTATTTTCTGCTAGTGTTTTAATCCAGAAGTGGCTCTCCTGCCCTTCGGGAAGATTTTAGATCATCCTGGATCTCAGCTGAAGGCCAGGTTTAAGCCACAGCTTAACTACTCACCACAGAGGCCCTGACATACCCACCTCTACCACCCTTAAACATCAGGACTCACCTGGAATAATGTAATGGATGTCACTGAATTGTACATGTAGAAATTTTTGAAATGGTGTATCTTTGGCTATGTATATTTTCACCAAAAAAAGTCCTCCAAGGTCGAGAAGGGAGAGTGTTGACATGTTGTGGGGTTGTTAACCAATGTCGTAAAACAATATGTGTACTGACAGTTTAATGAGAAACTATTTGTTCTGTAAACCTTCACCTAAAGTACAATTAAAAAAAAAAAAATCAGGGCTGCATTCACTCTGAGAGCCTTTGAAAACCCATTGCTGTCAAGTCGATTCTGACTCGTAGCAACCATAGAAAACAAATTAGAACTACCCCATAGGGTTTCCAAGGCTGTAAATCTTTAGGGAGGTAGACTGCCAGACATCTTTCTCCTGCAGAGTGGCTGGTGGGTTCAAACCACTGACCTTTCAGTTAGCAGCTGAACGCATAACCATTATGCCGCCAGAGCTCCTGAGAACCTTTCAAGGGAACCTGAAACATTCTTCTCAAAGACTGCCAAAGAGCAGTTGTCTTCCCCATCCTGGGATTTGAAGACTGGCCAAAAAGCCTCCTTGTTCTTGCCCAGCTAGACTTCCCAGACTCAATTCCATGGCATCTGGGCTGCCAGTCACCTTCATGAGAGACAGCCTTTCAGTCGTACAGCACATGTTGAATGATTTCTTAATATTATGCCTGTGCAATTGCAGGGGTGGGTAAAGCTGGATAATGTCCTTGCCCTCAAGGAGCCAACATACGTAGGGAAACAGGACACCACAGCATGAAAACCTGAATAGCAGTGCAAGAGATGAAAGACCTAGGTATTGCCCTATATTGGTATTACTAGAGCACGCATGGAAACCCTCGTGGTGTAGTGGTTAAGAGCTACGGCTGCTAACCAAAAGGTTGGCAGTTTGAATCTACCAGACGCTCCTTGGAAACTCTATGGGGCAGTTCTGCTCTGTCCTGTAGGGTTGCTACGAGTCAGAATCAACTTGACAGCAACGGGTTTAGAGCTCGCATGTAGCTAAGGTATCACAGGCCTGGAGCAAGTTATTTAACCTTTGAGCCTCAGTTTCCCTATCTGCAAAATGGAAATAATAACAAACCGAGCTCTCATGTTGAGCAATTTCACGAACACCTTAAGCACATAGTGTAATGTCTAGCATGTAATAAACAATCATGTAAATGTTAGCAGTTGATAGTTCCAAGGAGTGTCATGAAGCTTTGCCTGCTATTCGCCAGGCAAATCACACAACTATGAAGTGCTGTAAAAGTTGAGACAACAGAGACATAGGTGTGGGTCTGGCTAGAGAGGGAGGCGTAAGGAGAGAGGGGTTTCTGAGGGGTACGCCAAGCATGGGGTTAGTAAAATACTAGATATCTCCAGGGAACCTGCCGTTAGCTTTTTATCTTAGAATAAAAATTCAGAAATGTAAATAATTAAAAATAAGAGCCGACTAGGAAGCAGGCTAGGGACACATTTCAGAGAACTTGGAGAGGGAGAAGGAAATTGGTATGTGAGGAGAATATGACAGATTTATGAATATTTTAGTCGGAGAGGACGTTTCTGTCTTAGGAAAACAAAGTATAGACCCAAAGTGTGGCTTCTTTTGGTCATTGAAACAACACCCCTAGATACCCAACACCCCTAGATACGTGCAAACATCGTAAGGCTGTGTAGCCTGCATGAGGAAGACCACGTGTTTTCTGTTGAATCCCAGGGGAAGGACATGTACCTGATCCTGGAGAACGACATGCTCAGCCTGGTGGACCCCATGGACCGCACCGTGCTCCACTCGCAGCCCATCGTGAGCATCCGCGTGTGGGGTGTGGGCCGCGACAACGGCCGGTGAGTCTGCTGCGCGCTGGAGCTTTGTGCCCCTTACTGTGTGCCCTGGTTTTATCTTAACACAGATTGTGGTTTCTAACCATTATTACGCTTCACTGAATGTGGAACTTGACAGTGGACGCTGCTTAGAAATATAAAAAATTAAAGCACATCTATACTTCCCTGCCTCATGTACCCTCCAAGCTACTTCCCTTCCTGGTTTCTGCACCTCCGACCTTTTGGCAATTCTGTATCCTGCCTTCAAATTCTGCATATTTCCCCTGCTGACCACCCTCATTATCTTTCTAAGTTCCCAACTCATCCAGGCTCTCTGAGCTCCTTTTTTTCTCTTTTCTGCAGTTGGTTTTAATCCTCCATTCATTCCATTGAGACTCAGCATTTCAGGTTCCCCCTCTCCCCACCCCACTGGTATTTTCATCACAGAGGGCTTGCTAGAAGGGAGAAGTTGTACAGTCTTTAAGGACGAGCCTTAACGACATGACTATTGGGAACTTTGGGGGCTTGGGGTTGGTTAACTTAAAACTTCCAATAGATGAAATTTGTTTATGGTTTAATAATATTTTAACACCTAAAACATCAGTCATGTCACAGTTCCACTCAATGTGTGTTTTTCTAAAATTCTACCAAAAATTTGGCATTGATAGGAAGTACGAATTGCTTAGAGGTGTTGTGAATTTTCTGTTCTTCAGGATGACTGGAAACAAAGAAGTTCTGGTTTTTAAGCATGTATTCATTCCAGTTTTATTATAGCACATGAAGTCACAGACTCGCACTTGGATACCGTTGTTAAGTAATTGGGCTACATGAAATACATTTAACTCTTAAGTTAGAGTCAATCTTTGGCCATTCTCAAGGTACCGGAGGATCTCCTGGCATTTAGGGATGATTTATAGGATGATTAGTGTTCATTTTGCTGAAAATGGACAAAAGCATTGCAGAAGTAGGTGAAAATCCCAAACAGTAGAGAGATGGCTTTCCTGGGCTGTGGTTCCATTCCCAGGCATTCTGGTTGACTGGGTCATGTGTGCTCTCCTGGGGCATTTGCGTGGGCTTATCACAGCCTTTGTCTACCAAGACTAGACATTAGTGGATTTGATTGTCCTTTAATTTGATTCCAAGTCCTAAACCAGAAAGGAAGGATCAGGTTAAGTATTCATCAGCCAGAGAGCGTGCATTTATGCTGGAACCAGACGTGAGAAATCGTCTGCAAAAGAGAGAGGTGATGTGTCTTCCAACTGCTGATTGGGTAAATTTGCTGGGAATACAGTTTGTCTTTGAGCTTTTTGTAACAGTAATGAAGGATGACAGCTGGGCCAGGTGCTCTGAGGGAATGAGTGGGTAGATTATACATACACACCTGTCAGTCACTTGCTTGGCAGAACTGTAACCCTGGAGTTGATGCATTGGCATGACTTGATTAATTTTACAAGGAAGATATCTGATAATGTTTAGTTGTCATTAAAAACCTTTAGCATTGGTGGAAAGCCCTAGGTGTAACATGCTTGATCCCTTCCTGGTTCCTGTCTTCCAAGCTTGTTTTTAAGGCAGGAGCCGAGATGGAGATTATTACATACATGTGCAGCTAGATAGGGTTATATTTTCTTAAGATTAGGTTGTGAGTATATTTGATTCTATCAGATTTTCAGCCCACTCCAAACCTTTAAAGTGAGGCCAAACACTATGTGATTCTAACACCAGTTGACAAAATTATTCAAGGTCTCTGAGCCTCAGTTTTTCTCATCTGTGAAATGGGAGTAACAGTAAGGACCACAAAACACACACACACACACACACACGATGTAATTTGCACAATGATGCAGGCATACCAAATGCTTTAATAATGTTAGCTCTTGATCTTTTAAAGCAACATACACAAACAGATGCAGCTAATTACGTGGCTTCCGTCCTTTCAAGGATAGTTGAAGGCATGGGAAGAGTGAGACCTTAGAGAGGTTTCAAGAACAAATTATCATTTTATACAGAGGATGAGAGGCTATTCCAAACATTGAGTTCAGTAGAAAGAGCCTCTTAGAAAGTAGAAAGAGCCCCTTCCCCACATGATAGAAGTGTAAATTAGGCTACATTGCTTTGGTTATGTTTGTGAAACATACACCAGGTTACTTGTATTGTTTAAACCATTTCTTACTCTTATTCAATGTCAGCATCTAAGTGTGATTTAGAAATACACTCAGGTTTTCTCCTAAGCCATAAGGATCTCAGCAAGTTCATGTGGTTATTGGGAACTCTTGAGCTGGATTGCCTTTGGAAGCAATAAATAAAAAGTATATTTGTCAGTGAAAGGTTGTATTTCTTCCCATTGGTGCCCCGAGTTTTCATTCCCTAGAAGAAGGAGCCTTTGTATTCCTGCTTTTTTATTTTCGTTTGCTTTTGAGTCTTTTTTTTTTAACAGCAATTTACAAGAGCAAATTCACTTTGTAAGGCTGGAAGAGAAAGGAGTTTTAACTTTGCATGAATAAAACATAAAAGTGTTTCATTTTGCTTGCAAAAAGGGGCCCATTTCACATTCTCTTTTGTAACTTCCCTTGCTAAGAAAGTGGAATCTCTTAGGGGATTTCTTGATGTGGTTAAAATGAATAAGTATGTGTATCAGAGGTTTGAAGGGTACAGAATCTTTCTTGAAATTCAGAGTGCTTCGCTGAGCCCTGTAATTTCAGAATTTATTAAGGTGTTTTGGGCTTAACGTTTTCTTAAGGCTTTCAAGTGGTTGTGATTCGATTCAAAGAAATTTCTTATGGAGTACATTTACCTTCGGTGAGGAAGTGATCTGTTTGTCACTACCCCTAGGCCCCATCCTTAAGGTTGATTTGGAGAAACCCATTACTGAGAACAGCGTAAGGAGTTACAGTCGCATCAAATGTAGGTTCTCTGTGGAGTTTTGGTTGTTGCATGACTGGGCTGGAGTTTTCGTCTTCTTGTTGAGAGTCATGCCTATCTTTATTATGGCATTTCAGTTCAAACCCACCCAGCAGCTCCATAGGAGAAAGATCTGGTGATCTGCTCCTAGAAAGATTATAGCCTAAAAAACCCAATGGAGCTGTTCTCATCTGTCACATGAGGTCACTGTGAGTTGAAATCGACTTGACGGCACTTAACAACAACAATATTTAAACTCAAATATAAAATAATTACATTAACATAAATGGACTAAAATCTCCAAATAAAAGGTAAAGCAAAAGTATTATGGCATTTCTCAGAGCATGTTTCTCTACTGTCTGCCAAAGTAAGGGCTGCCTTCTCTCCTTTAGCCATACTGTACTTTGGTTCCTTTTGATCACAGTAAGACAAATCTCAAGGATCCGAGAGACGGATATTGGCGAAAGGAGTTTCATAAGCTTTTATTTCCAATCAAATACAGTACCAGGAACACCATCTGGACTTGACCTGCACTTTTCCCGCCCTCTGTGTGAAGGAGGGCCTCTTCACGGTTGCAAATGGTTCTGGGCCTTGGAGCTGGAATTTTGTCCTTGGTGACTGGAGCAGTGAAGGATAACATCTGTAATCATAATCTGAGGATAACCACTACTATCTCATTACTTTGCTAATAAGAATCAGCATAAAGCTAGTTTCTGTGAGGCACAGGTCAAGTATATCTCTGTGTTTCCACTTCTCCATTACTTCTGGTACCAGCTGCTCCCCCGATGGCACCCTCAATTTCTGTGCTGGGTTTGATAGTTTACTAAAATGGTCACACAGAACTCATAGACTATACTCACAGTTTGTGGTTTACTAGGGTAACAACACAGAAGTAGCAGGATACAATTTGGGATGCAGCTCAGGATCAGTGTCAGGATCATAATGATACAATTCAGGGAAAAGGTACATGGGCAAGGTCTGGAAGGGTCCCTGAAGCAGGAAGCACATTGCTCCCTTAATCACCTAGGAAATTCTTCAGTCAGAAAAGACTCCAGGACAGCTCTCAGCCACCCCCAGCTCTAGGCTGCCATCACAACAGCTCTTAGTATGTTACAGTTCTTTTACCTGGATCTGGGAGGGTTTCTGGTACGGGGCTTCTGTATCCTAATGGACACACCATCCCTCTCAGCTCTGTTTTGGCTCTTATGTAGCCAGTTCACGTGCTCCCTTGTCAGTTGCTAGGCAATGGAATTTTTCCAAGAGGCTTAGAGGTCAGTGTGCCATGGAACACTAATCAGGTGAGATTTTCATCAGCTTTCCTTGAGGGGAAAAAAAGAAGGTTCTAAGGTAAATTGGAGTCAAACAGTTAACGTGTTCGACTACTAACCTAAAGGCTGATGGTTCGAGTTCACCCAGAAGCATGTCAGAAGAAAGGCCTGGTGATCTACTTCTGAAAAATCAACTACTGAGAACCCTGTGGAGCACAGTTCTACTCTAACATGAGTTGTAGTCAACTTGACGGTAGCTGGTAACTGGTAGGATCAATTGGGAAACACTGAGTTAAACAGAGCTTAACAGGCCACTTTCCTCTGGACTCTCAGAGACTTGCCTATGCTAATGTGACATCCAAGAGAGCAGTTTCCAGACTTGACTTCGGAACCCTTTTCTTCATGGAGCTGCAGTCGTACACAACACACTTTGGGAAATAATGCTCTGGTCAGAAAACTCATTGAGTTAAATTAGTGGCAGTGCTAGACTGCTGTTTGTATGTGTGTGTGTTTTGTTTTTTTTTAAACAAAACTGAAATAATTTTAATATATAACTATTTTAAGTAGTGATCCCACGGGGCCTACTCTAATAAAGATAAAACTCTTTCATAATTAATAACAGCCATTGTGCTCAAGTGCTTTTTAAAAAGTACTTTCATATGCAGGTTAAACGTTTGTTTGCCTTGTGATATTGTTTATGCTTGTAGTTTGTACAGAAAAACTTCTCTTCCTAGGAGGTGTTTTATACATCTCTTCTTTTTCTTATGAACACTTTTTAATAAAAGCTTACTGTATAATAGATTATTCATAAATTTCCTAATAGTTTGTCTTTGACTTTGACCTTTTATTTAAAGAATA